TGAGTAAATCAGAAACCAGAATGATGGGGGAATGTCCTTTCGTACATACTTTTCTCTTATTGGTTGGTGAATAAAACACTGATTGGCCAGTAGCCAGGCAGAAAGTATAGGCAGGGCTACCAGACTGGGAGAATGCTGGGGAGGGGAAAGCAGAAAGAAGCTGCCCATGGGAGACACCAGGTAGAGATCGGGAAGATAGGACACACCAGGCATTCTCTGGTAAGATAAGGTCATGTAGAAATACATAGATTTGTAGTTATGGGTTAACCATTAAGAGAGAGCTAGCAGTAAGTTTCTAATTAATACAGCTTCTGTGTGTTCATTTGGGGCTAACAAGCTGCAGGACCAGGCAGGAAAGAAACTTCCGACTACACAAGAAAACTCAGTTTCCCCAACTGTTATATAAGGATAACAATAGTATCAGTCACAGACAGATAAATAATTTACTCCTAAAAGTAAAAAGGGTGCCATCCTGTAAACTTACCACAGTAAGTCAGGGCTATTGGAGAACACAGCATATTAAAATCATATCAGGAAAACCCAACCCAAGAACATATCAAACACACCAAATAGAGGAAAGGGTGCAACACTTTTTCCTGTACTCTCCCAAAAAGGAAGGTACCTAACACTGTGATGGCAACATGTTCTCTAAGCACCTGGTGTGTACATCAAAATACCACAGGCAGAGAACTCCCAACTGTCCTTGGAACTTCAGCTTGAGTTGGTCCCCACTGAGGGTTAGTTCTGTTCTGCCCATTAATCTCTCTTGACTTGGCCCTACACATTACCTCCATGACCTCCACAGTCCTACACCTGGGTGTGTGGCTCAACCTGACCCCGAGGTTTGACTTGAGCCAGCAACAGTGTTTCAGTGAACAGTGTTTTCTCTCTCTCTCTCTCTCTCTCTCTCTCTCTCTCTCTCTCTCTCTCTCTCTCTTTCTTTCTTTTTTGTTTTTTTGAGACAGGGTTTCACTGTATTGTTTTGGAGGCTGTCCTGGAACTCACTCTATAGACCAGGCTGGCCTCGAACTCACAGAGATCTGCCTGCCTCTGCCTCCCGAGTGCTGGGATTAAAGGCTTGCACCACCAACGCTCGGCTAGTGACCAGTGTTTTCAGTTGGGTTCATTAATATCTTATCTAACTACCCTCAGTGACTCTTTGTATCTGACTTCTTTGGAACCTCTTGGACTCCACTATGGCTACCTGAATCCTTTGTAGCCATTCAGCAACCTATATGTTTACATACTTACACATTTATTTACTGAGTGATATGTGATGTGTGAGCTGAGGGCTAGGACTAGTGAAGATAGAAATGAAAGAACCTGTGTTTGCCTTGGCCAGCTATCTGAACAGCAGCCAACGAAACCAGTGTAGTATGTGAATTTGTTACTCAATAAATTCTGACGTGTAGAAATATATAAACGTATCTGTCAATCTATATTTTTTGATGTAGCATGCTCATGACAGATATTAAGTACATTGATGATTTTAAAGTTTTTAGAGTGTCTAACACAGGACAAATACACTTAAGTGCTAGTTATTACTGTGCTCTAGGGCCACGGAACTGGCAAGGGGGCAGGTAGTGATTACTCCAACTCAGGATAACTCTAGTTGGATTAGAGAGTCAATAAAGGTTAACACAAAGTTTTGAGGGGAAAACCAAGGGAGGCATGATGGAGGAGGCAGACTCTGAGCTGAGCCGGGTGGGTGTGGATTGGATTTAGCATGCTACTGTGTGAACACTTTTTTACAGAGACAATAACCTTAAATCTCGAAACTTTGGGATCAGTTAGGGGCGTGGAGGCTGCCATGACCCTGGTGAAAGTTCTCAGTTCAATGACATGCACAACAAATTATTTAACCAATTGTTCCTCCATTCTGCAAATATCACTAAGACCTATAGGTGCCAGACTTTAGAGTAGATGAGGACCCAAGAATCAAACTCTGCATAACCTACCCCAAAGGAACACAAATACATAGTGATTGATGTAGTCAGACTCTCTTGTTGGACTTTTTCTTAGGGACCACCAGTCCCCAAATAATGACACAGACTTATTATTAATTATGAAAGATTGGCCTTAGCTTAGACTTGTTCCCAACTAGCTCTTATAACTCAAATTAACCTGTTTTTATTAATCTACATTCAGCTATGTGGCTTTTACCTCCCCCCATTCTCTGACTCCTACCATGTCTTGCTGGCATTTTTTGTGAGCCTAGATTCATCTCCAGTTTCTCTCTTTCTCTGGAAGTCCCACCTATTCTCTCCTGCCTAGCTATTGACCATTCAGCTTGTTATTAAACCAATCAGAAGGCACCTTAGGCAGAGACACTCTTTACCGTGTACCAAAAGATTATCCCACAACTGACAGAGACAGAAGATGAACACAGATCCTGGTTTCTCTGCTTATTCTACTTTACATCAGGACATGTATTTGGCAGGACCACTGGGTTCATCTTCTACAGGAATCAAATCACTGCAATTACTTTCCCTACCCTACAGGTAATTAATTATTCAGGTGCTCTGGAACAGGGCCTTATATAATCCCATTTCCCAACTTCTCTTCTCACAACCTGGGGCTATCTAAATGTCATGTTTATTTTTAAACCACATCCCTACCATTGATTATTCATAATAACTTTTGTCATCGTCTCTGAAACCTACTCTTTATGTTTGCCCATGCCAGTCTGTCCACCTTGTTAATTCTTGGCACTGAGCCTCATTCTGTTCTTTCTTCTTCCATAGGACCTGACAATTCTAATAAGTTAGGCTTGAACATCCCTGCTCTAAGCCAGTCCTGGGCAGGGTGTAGTCCCACCCATCATTGACCTATCATTATTTGAACTATAATTTCTCCTGCAAGGTGGTCTGACAAAAGTCAGACTGTGTGAAATCTCTTGCAGACCGATAAACTCCCCCATCAGCCTTTTCCTTCTCCCAGCATGAGACTCTTCGAGAAAATCTATTTCTTGGGGTCCACTATTTCAGTAGTCTGATAACTGAAGGGAAGGTGTAAGTGTCTCTTTAGTATATTTTCACTCCTGCCGGGGTAGTTACACCAGGACTATTTGCCAGCTACACAAGGATTCATATTTATACTTGAGAGACTACACCCCTAGCCCCACAGATTGTGTACAGACTCCAACCACACTGTGTACGACGCTGCTTCTTTTTCAAGAAAGGCAATCAGACCAGTCTTTTTCCTCTCTCTCTCTCTCTCTCTCTCTCTCTCTCTCTCTCTCTCTCTCTCTCTCTCCTCTCACCACTCACAGAGCTCTTGCAGCCATCAGACCCAGTATCTGGAGGTGGCAAGCTTTTCAAGAGCCCAGAAAAACCTCAGACCCCTCGCCTTTGTCAGGGGCATCTTAGCTCAAGTTCACAGCGTCTGCTGTGCTCTTGGCCTTTCCTTGGTGTTACCAGGGAATTGGGGTTCCTTCTTTTGGATTGTTAGTCTTGTTAACAAGACAAATTGAGTAGAATTGTATTAGAACTTGGGAGAAAAACAATCAAACAAGCAGACTGAAGCTCTCCTTAACTCCTTTTGCAGTGGGGGTGGGTGCTTACATGGCAGAGGCTGCCTGGAAAGTGAGAAAGCCCAGAGTGCCAGAAAAACAGGCTTAGGCTTTAGTCAATATCTGAAAGGAAATAAAGAAAAGGGAAAAATACGCTTAGTGGCTAGTGCAGAGCTGAGTTCTTATGTCTCAGGTCAAAGGGTTGCACAGGAGACACGGCATGGTTAGAAACAGGGACTGGCTATTAAGGGAAGAAAAACACTCCCAAAGAATGGGAGTGGGTGAGAGAGCTAAGTACAAAGGGGGTGAGGCTCGAGACTTTTACTTTTTAAATATCACCACAATTTATTTATTATGAATACGGTGTTCTGCCTGCACACCAGAAGAAGACATCAGATCTCATTATAGATGGTTGTGAGCCACCATGTGGTTGCTGGGAATTGAACTCAGGACCTCTGGAAGAACAGCCAGTCTCTTAACCTCTCTCCAGCCCTCTCTCCAGCCCTCGATACTTTTTATAGTACTGTTACATGACAGCCGCCTCTCCAAATTGTAGTTCTGGAGTCTTTTCTAGCACGTGCTGTTGTATGAAGCTCAGATGGGGAAGGGTTTCTGGGTCAACTGGCTTCTTTCACAAACTAATCTTGATGCTCTGGCCTCCAGCCCCTGTCCTTCCCTCAGCTTCTAGGAACTTGTAGCTGATGACTCACACTTGAGATCAGCCCTCCATAATGGAAGCAGCCTCTACAAAGGTAATAATTCTTTCCTAGGGGTAGCCTGTTTCTTCAATTCATCAGCACAGGACGTGCATTTCTGCCCGTTTGCTTTAATCTGGAATAGTTGTAATGGGTCAGACGAGGGTCAGAGCATTCCTGGGGAATAGCTAAGAAAGAACTCTATGCAACTGTTTTTCTACTCATCTACAGCCTCTACCTGCTTCCCTTACATCTCAAAGATTTTTTTTTAAAGTTCTGGCTGTCCTGGAACTCACTCTGTAGATCAAGCTCGCCTCGAATCCCTGAACTCAGAGATCTGCCTGTCTCCGCCTTCCGAGTGCTGAGATTAAAAGCCTGTGCCACCACCACCTAGCTCATTTGACAAACCTTATAGTAACTCCTACATCCCACAGCAACCCACAATAAACCTCCTTGCACACTAGTCTCCTTTTCAGTTTTTGAGGAATTCAGCGTATTATTGAGATCTGTTTCCTCCCCCCCCACACACACACTATAAAACTTAATACTAGCTGTGACCACCTAAGCTCCTAGGGCTGGATCTTTGTGTCTTACACACTGTGCATTGCGGGGTCACGCTCCTAGGACTGGGCCTGCAGAACACATCACAAACTAAAGACTGACTATTGGAATGAATGGGAAGCTAAGGCCGATCACGCTGGGTCTCTGTCACACTGGTAGGCGGGAACCGGAATCCACTGGGGGGCGGCGGTGTTGCAGCTCATGGGCGTGGCCTTGAGTCTCCGCCCCGAGAACCCACCGGAGGCGGGGCCCACGCACGCTGCAGCCCTTGCAATGCAGCTGCCCGCGGTCCGGCTAATATGGCTCGGCCGGGCTCATTACTCCGAGCTGCTGGCACTGCAGGAGCAATGGCTGCGACGGCTACAGGCTGACCCTCGCCCGGGGGCCCCATCGGAGACCGAGGCGGGCGCGCTTTTGCTCTGCGAGCCAGCAGGGCCCGTGTACACGGGCGGGCTACGCGGCGGCCTCACGCCCGAGGAAGCTACGCGGCTGAGGGCCTTGGGAGCCGAAGTGCGCGCCACCGGCCGCGGCGGCCTGGCCACTTTCCACGGCCCGGGCCAGCTGCTCTGCCACCCTGTGCTTGACCTGCGACGTCTAGGTCTGCGCCTGCGCACCCACGTGGCGGCGCTGGAGGCATGTGCGGTGCGCCTGTGTGAGCTCCGGGGCCTGCAGGGAACCCGCGCGCGGCCGCCGCCCTACACCGGTGTCTGGCTGGGCGAGCGCAAGATCTGCGCGATCGGTGAGCGCACCGGGGTGGAGCCGGGGCAGGGTCAACCCGGGGAACTCTGGGCTCCGAATGCTCCTGACCTGCCTCACGGATATTTTAGAATTTCAAGGCAGAAGAGTCTTCTAGTTCAACACTCATGGATGGAGAAATACCAGGCATGAATTGCCAAGTTACTTCCCGTGACTCACAACGGGAGGACAGAATGCCAAATGTCAAACTTCCAAAGCAATGAAATCCCTGTATTAAAGGAATCTCGACAGTAAGGGCAGCTGATGTGTAACCACAGCCCCCACCCCGTAGAATTAGCCCCCTGACCCGGTCTGTTCCACCCAGGCTCCAAGGGACCCAATCCAGGCCCACCTACCTTTCCCAAGGCCCCAAGGGGAGGGAAGTGTAGCTATTCTAAGATATTTTGACTTGCCTTGCAGGAGTCCGCTGTGGAAGGCACATCACATCCCACGGCCTGGCTCTGAACTGTTCTACAGACCTCACTTGGTTTGAGCACATTGTGCCCTGTGGACTGGTCGGGACAGGAGTCACTTCCCTGAGTGAGGCACTCCAGAGACTCGTCACTGTGGATGAAGTAATGCCATCTTTCCTTGTGGCCTTCCAGGAGACTTTCAAGTGCACGTTAATCTCTGAGGACAGCCCCAGCTGACAACGGGCACTCATTCATCTTAGCCCAGGGGCCTTGGCCGGGCGGTAGAAAGCTCCTAGTCTGACTTGAGTCCTCAGAACCCGATTCTAGAACTGCTCTGTGATTTACTGACTGCAACTGAGGACAGATCCTGAGCTTTTGCTTCCTGTATCTCCCCACCTACCTCAGGGGTCACTATGAAAACACTATGAGAAGTCACATGCTACATAAAGCTTCCCGGGACTGTTCACACATGTTCCTTGGCTTGGAGACACTCCAGTGTTTAAAGTGTCCTTTTAACTTCTTGCTCCTTCTTCAGTGTTTGCTGTATCTAACAGCGGTTTTGGTCTGTACATCTTTGGAGTTCTGTGAGAATCAAATCTCTATGACTCAGGGGAAAGGGATGCGATAAAGTTATTCTCAAAAGACCTGGCTGTGTCTTCAATAAATTGAAAAGCCCCTTCAAAAAGATAAATAAAATGAGATTTTTGCCTTTTTAGGTTGAATCCCTTAAGTTTGATAGTTTACCTGTTTTTGCTTGGGGTCAACAGAGATGGGCTAGAAGCTATGGGAAAGACAAAGGTAATTCTTCCTTGTACACAGATGCTGTAGAGAGAAGATTTTCCTACCTGGGATCCCTGGGTCTGCAAGAATGTCAGTTCTTGCAAAGTATGGAAACAGAAACTTGGTGATTCAAGACAACAAGGAACACATTACCTCATATTTTATGGGTCAGGGATTGAAGAAATGTACCTAGGTTGGTTGGAGTTTTACCAGACCTTGCATTAAAGGTGACAGTCATTGGAATGTTTAGCTGGTGCTGGAGGTCAGTTCCCAAGATGGGTTTCCATTGTGCTTGCTTGGTTGCTTCTAGTTGTTGACAGAGGCCTCAGTTCCTTACTGTGTGGGCTCTATTGCAGGGCAGCAGGCGTGATGGTAGAAAGAGGTAATTTAGGAGCTCCCATGTCTTTCGTGACCTAACTGGATGTCACACAGGCCTTTCCATACTCCCACAAGTGGGCCTTCTTTGGAGTGGAAGGGACATCCCACAAACTTGGAAAGATGAAGCTCTTTAGGAGCCATCTTGGAGACTGGTGGGAAGTAGACAGATCCTTGATTGAGACCCTGGTGCAACACTTGACACTGGAAGTTATTGCTTCTGTTTCCTCTCTCTAGGCTTCGGTGCTGCTGTTCACTAGAAATGCAATAAGAGTTGCGTTGTAATTTGACATTTTCTAGGAGCCTCATTAAAAGGGCTTGTGTTTGTTTGTTTGTTTTCTTTGAGACAGGCTGTGTAACAGCCATGGCTGTCCTGGAACTCACTTTGTAAACCAGGCTGATCTCGAACTCACAGTGGCCACTGGTACAAGTTCACTGCAAGACCTCTACAGTAGAGATTGTAAGTATGTTCCTGAAACCATTCTTGCCTCTGTTTACTTGATTTTTAACAATGGTCTCATGGCCCATGGTGATCTAGAACTTGCTATGTAGCCAAGGTTGACTTTGAACTTCTGATCCTCTCTGAGAGTCTGCACTGTTCTGGGCCGTAGAGAATAGCTTTGTGATGGATCGAGTTGACCTTCCTCAGCTGTGCTTTCACAATGTGAAACACTGTGAAGGCATCTGCCTAGGCCTGAGAGGAGTTGCTTGGTTCAATGACAGGTAAAGTAGCTGTCCAAATTCTCAATAATTCGTCTCATTATGATTGTTTCATTCTGTTCTCCATTGGTTTTCTCTTTCTTCCTCTCTTTCCTTCTTTCTTTCATTTATTTATTTTTGAGTTTTTCAAGACAGGATTTCTCATCCAGTCCATGTGCTAACATAGGCTTTCTGAGTTGGTGAAGCCTAGTCTGTTAGTCCAGTGTTCTGAGATGCAGCAGGGTGTAAACCCTGAGGTCACAGCACCAGTTCTGTGCTGCAGCCGTGAAGAGGCCTTGTAAGAGGGACCAGGATGTCCATGTGTATATAGAAAAACACTTACTGTCACTAGTCATCAGTGAAATGCAAAGCAGAACTACAGTGAGACACATCTACAGTCCAGCTGCGTGGCTAGTGTCGAAAGGACAAAGGGTAATGAGAGTTGTGAGGGTGTAGAGGAAAGGGTTCCTTTTTTTTTTCTTTGAGGCAGGGTTTCTCTGTGGCTTTGGAAGTTGTCCTGGAACTAGCTCTTGTAGATCAGGCTGGCCTCGAACTCACAGAGATCCTCCTGCCTCTGCCTCCCGAGTGCTGGGATTAAAGGCGTGTGCCACCTCAGCCCAGCCAGAGAAAAGGGATCCTTAAGTGCTATAGAGAATGTAAAGCAAAGGGACCCTTAGATGCTGTTGATGAGAATGTAGATTAGGATATCCATTATACAAAATAGAGAGTGGAAGTTAAAAAACATTTCCACCTGACTCAGCAATCTCACTATTAATTATTGTATTAGTTGCTTTTCTGTTGCTGTGATAAAACACCATGAGCAAAACCAGCTAATAGAGGAGCTTATTTGGGCTTATGCTTCCACAGGCATAAGAGTCCATCGTGACAGGAAGCACGGCAGCAAGCAGCAGGAGCAAGAAGCTGAGAGATCCCCCTCTCAACCATAAATAGAAAACAGAGAGCTAGAACTGGAAATGGCTTAAGGCTTTTAATCTGAAAGCCCATCCCCAGAGACATACTTCCTGTCTCATGGCCCAAATAACTCCACCAAATGGGGACTAAGTGTCTTTAAATACTGGAGCCTATGATGACTTTTCTGATTCAAACCACCACATGTATGTATGCAAAATACATGACATTAGTATGTCATAGAGATGATCACTCTCATGCTCACACCAGCACTATTCACAATAGCCAGGACTGGAAATGGGAGCATCTAAAGTGATACATGTACAATGAAATACTATTGAGCCTTATAAAATGAATGTGAAGGACATCCATGAGTGAAACAAAGCAGATTCAGAAAGTCAAATGCCTTGTGGTCTTGCTTATATTTGTCTTAGCTATGATTCTATTGCAGTACTAAAACACCATGACCAAGGCAACTTATAGAAATAAGGGGTTCCTGAGGAATTGGAGTCCATCACCAATATGGTGGGGCTGTTGCAGCAAGCACCAGACATGGCGGCAGGAATAGGTGAGAGCTCACACCTCCAACTGAAAACAGGAAGCAGAAAGCCAATCAAAGTGGCATAAGTCTTTAAACTCTGAAAACCTGCCTCCAAGACCACACCTCCTATGCCTGCCCAGACAGCTCCAACTAGGGACAAAGCATTCAAATGCCCAAGAATATGGGAGACATCTCATTCAAACCACACAATGTGGAATCTTAAAGCCAATCTCATAGAGGTTGAGACTAAAATAATGGCTATCAGAGGCAAGGGAAGATGGCAGAAGGGAAGTTAAGGCTAGTCTCTAGGTGGGGGCAGAGTAGGTTCTGGTGCTCTGTTTTTGCATGGTAGAGTGATAACGGTTAATGTAGTATATGTTTCAAAATTGATAGGAGAGGATTTTGGGTGTTCTTATCACAGAGAAATAGAGAAATAATATTCAAGGTAATTAATGTTTTTTACTCTAATCTGATCAGTATACTATATACATATATATATATATCAGTGTCGCATTGTATCCCATAAAGAGGTACAATTGTTTTCATCAAATATAAAACTTATGTATATCTATATATATCACATAAAGTATTTATGTGATATATATCATATACTTTTAGTTCCAGCAACTGGGAGGCAGATGCAGGCAGAGCCCTATGAGTTCAAGGTCAATCTGGTCTACATAGTAAGACACTGTTTCAATAAATAAATAAGTAAACTTAATAAAATAAAACGACCATGATTTACTTATCTCTGATCCCTAGCTCAGGGCCTGGTACAGAATAGATTTCAGGAAGTTGTGTGATAATTATTAATACTCACCCGTATTTTTGGCTCCCTGCCCTCTGGACACAGGATAGGAATGCACTTCCTGACACCCTCGAGTTGGGCAGAGTCAGGTAATTTGTTCTAATAAGTGAGTTATGAATAGGGGTTGCATCTCACTTCTCAGCTGGAGCACTGAGTAGCTGATGCCAGACTTCAAGGTTCTTTCTGTATAGAACAGGAACCAGTGATGTTAAAGAGGATCAGTGACATTAAAGAGGATGGCTGCTTCCTGGGGGACTGCAGGAAGCAGAGCTTCATCCGATGCTGAGCACAGAAGGCTCACCTCAAAGGGGGGTGGTAACTCATCTACCCTGACTACCGTGATAGGTTTATGTTACTTGGGGCACTTGCATCTGCAAGTATAGGAACCTACTGTAACTTAAGCAAAAACAAAACATCTGGACACAGTGGTATACACATTTATTCACAGTACTCAGAGGGCAGAGGACTCTTTGTGAGTGCAAGGCCAGCCTGGTCTACATAGTGAGTTCTAGGCCAATCAGGGCTTCATAGTGAGACTTTGTCTCAAAACAAAAACAAAAGGTGAGACGTTATTGAAAAAGGTTCTGGAATCTTGACAGTCTAACATTAGTGCAGCAGCGAAGCCCAAGAGCAGGGCCAGAGCGGAACAGGAAGGCGTTGTGAACGAAAATTCCCCGAAAGAAGCCATGTCTGCAGAGGTCGGACAACTTATTAAATATCCATGATGTGTAGAGGTTGGAGTGTTGCAGGGTGTGTGAATACTGGGTTGGAGTCATGGACTGAGCAGGTCAGTGGGTGGCAGACTTCAAGGTTCTAGAGATATGGACGGGGCAGAATGCAGTGAGTGAGAACCACATTCAGAGAGGAAAATGCTAAGTTAAGGTTGTTGTTGGGCTTGTTTTGTTTTGATTTTTTTTTCATTGAGAAGGTTTACTGTGGCTCAAAGTGCAACATGGTTTCACCATGATGGATTAGTCAAGGTGGCAGAAGTGTAATACAGCTGTTCATATCACACCTGTAATCAGGAAGCAGAAAATAATGAATAATACTGCTGCTCAACTCGTCATCTAGTGGGTAAATATCAATTATTGGTGAGACTGACTGATTACACTATTTCTATATGAATTAAGGTTAATTTGTGGTAGAAACATACTGAACATGGGTATGGCCATATTTTTCCTGTGTTATAAATTATTTCATTTAATCCTTACAACAATCCTGTAATTTTCAGTTCAGTTAATGCAAACCTAGAATATTTTGGCAGGAAAACCATGAGTTAATTGAAATACTCGACCACTAGATCACACCTGTGGAGACCTAGGACAGTGTTAATTACCAACTAGACAGGATCTAGAATAATTCAGGAGAACATATTGAACTGAATATGTGCCATAGGTGGTACTGTTCACTGCCAGGGACCCTGGACTCTGTAACTAAGTTAAGTTGTTGATGGATCGAGTTTGAGACACGGAGATGACTATGGAGAAAGTTCAGAGACAGCTGGATATATGGATCTGATGCATGGGTCTGGTGAGTGATAGTCTAGGTCTGTGAGCCCCAGGAGAGATAGGAAGGCTGTTAGAGATGAGCCATGGGCTAAGGAGGAGTAGGCCGAGGA